AATGCCTTGTTCTGTACTATAGCACAAGAATAAGCTGCTCCCTAAGGAGCTGTGGGAATAAGCGCTCCTTGAATAGGGAGGAAGCAGACTAACTCAACCCAAGGCAACCCATTCAAAAGAGACTTTCAGCCCTTGGCATAGAAGCTGTGAGATGCAGAATAGGAATCTCTTCTTCTTCTTCCTCCTCCTCCCAATCTTCCTTCCTCTTTTTTTTCTTCTCATTTTCTTTACTTTTTTCTAATTTTGTATTTATTTTAACCCAATTTTTATTTGTTAATTATGAAAAGTCATATTTACCCCCAAATTTGGTTAAATCTAACAGAAAATTAGACGGTGGGATCAATAGAGCGAATAATATAGAGTTGATGGACCATTTCAATGAATAATTTAATTGAGAGACCAAAATATAAATCGGGTATAAATTTGAGGACCATTTGAGTAATTTACCGTAAAATTTAACTTTTTGTTGGACCTAAATATTGAAACCCCACAAACTGAAACCACCAAATAAAGAATTGCCCAATTGATACTCCAATTTTCATTCAAGTCAACCTTTTTCAGCAACGAAGTTAGTTAGCTTCGCTGGGGCGCCGTTCAAGTTTGAACGTGTGAACTCAAAGCACCAGCAAGCTTCAGAATATATTATAACATATACAAGCATTTTATTCAATCTATTAAAAATAATAAAAATCACTTACACTCTCTCCATGTACTTGATCACCACTTAGAATAAGGATTTATGCTAAATCTTTTTTTTCTTGGCTTTGGTAACGACAAAAAGCTCTACAAACTATAATCTACTTGTTGTGTACGCAAATATCAGATAAATTTAAGATACGTGCAATCAGGAGTAGAGCCGAAGTCAAGTCCGAAGAGGCCTTGGCCTCCCACTCCTTTTATAACTCTTTTTAACATTTGAAACAAAGTATAATATTAAATAAAAAAAATTCACAACTAAGCTAGTGTTACCCCCCCCTGCATTAAGTTTTAAATTGTTACATGAGGCGGCATAAATACATAAATCAAGACATAAAATTATAGGTAAATTATAGGTAAGATGGAAAATAAATAAAAGTAGGTGAGAGGGCCGTCCTAATATATATTATTAGCTAAGAAAATTGAATAAATGGGACAGTCCAGGTCATTGTCAATATAAAACAAAGCAAGCCGAGCCAACAATGGAGGGCTGGGCTGTCATATTTTGACTGAGAAAACTATATACACATATAGATATATGGTTGCCTTTTCATTATCATTATATTTGACTGCTCGTGCAGATTTGGGGAGAGGACTTGCTGGGTGAGACACACATGCAGTATTAAATGAAGCCAAGTTTGTTGAGCACTTAATTAATAGCCACCCAAGCAGACTACGGCCCACTCAAATACTGTTTGGCTTTCACCAACTTCTAGTACGTTTTTCCTTTAGATGCGATATTTTAAATTGCTCTATGCTATATAGAGAGAAATTCAAACTCGGATATCGGAGGATAGACGCACTACTGGAGTCAACTTGACTAATCTACATACGTCGTTTATGTATTTTTCACATTGACAATTATGATATATAAAATATTTCACATTAATAATATTTCATATTATTCATGTTTTTATTATATAGTTTGGTGTGTTTTGATCTAGTGGTATTTTTCTATTCAATATTCGAAATCCCAAGTTCGAATAACCTGTCTTCCATTAATTTTAAAAAAAAACAATGTGAAATGAATATTCAAATTAAAATATACTCAATGTAATATGAATATGAAATAATACATTAATTAATCTCTTGGCCTCGTCATATAAAATGGCTTGGTTGACTCTTTTTCATTTTTGAGTTATTAGCTTGGTTGACTTTGAACTGGAATGACCATCTACCACTAATATATATGCAATGAGAAAAATCACAGAATAACTCGATTTCACTCGTTCTTTGAATTGGGAAACAAGATTTCTTGCTTCATTTTTGCTTCTCTTTTTCAAGAGTGTCTACACTTGGGAGCAGTACTTGTTTACCAAATAAAATCTTGGCAGTACTTGGAAAAAAATATTTGGCAGTAACATACTCTTCAAACTTGATCACTTGATTACTTTTCTATTCATTATTTGCATTTACAGTTCTTCCTTTTCTTCCAATAATGGCGCACAATGTTAGATCTTTTATGGTGAAAAGTAAATTGAAGAGTGAGAAAGTGATTTCTCAATTTGCAAAGTGAGAGAGTGACCACAGTTTTGATACATTGGAGTCTATTTTTATTGGAGCTGATTTTTTTTTTATGTGTCTCACCTTATCAACACTTAGGGTAGATTCATGAGAAATAATATTGTAACTCTTGCGCTTTTAGAAATTGTATGTATAGTTTCGAGAAATAGTACTAGAGAGAAACTAACTTTTAAGATATATCAACTGATGTGGCAGTGTTTCATTTGTTTCATGTTTGAGTTCAGTTTAGAACTTATTTATTCACAGCAAATAAGATATTGTCATATATTAGTTGATACTTAAAAGTTGGCGTCTCTAGTACTACTCTAGAAAACAACACACAAAATAAGATTAAGAAATTGGTGTCTTCACAAAAGAAAACTAACATTGCACAAAATGGGTCAATTTCCAAATCACTTTCACCAACCTACCAACCTTGAATTGTTCCATATTGACACACTCACTGAAAACAAAATATGTAGAATGTGCTAATAACAAACATTGTTTTTCATACATTAGTCCACATCTGATTGCAGAATTCTCAGCAATAAAACCATCTGCCCTAATTAAAAGCATCAAAATTTTGTTTGGCATATGCCTGAAAGCCATGAGAAAAGAATAATGTCAAAGATTCTACTATTTGTGCAAGGAAAACAGCCAGGACAGTGCCCATGTAATTTTTAAATATAATCGCCGCAAACTCTCGTCAACCATGGAAAGTTGAGTCGAAGTGGATGCATGAGACATGCTTTTTCTTGTTAAAAATGCCATACATATGTACACCGTACTTTTGTCTTCAAATTTGGACTCATTATACAGTAGACTACTGTATACTGTATTTCTCTACTTTGCTAAGAGTTCGATTCTTTTCCTCCCCTTCTCTGCAATGGAAAATCATCTCTAGTTCTTTTTCATCCCTAACGACATATGGGGTTGGACTGCTGAGTTCATAACTTTTCTATTGTTTATCTTTTAATGCATAAAATTATGTCTTGTTTTTTACTGGGTAATTTAAATTTGGAAACTCTTCAACGACTTTACAAGATAAGAATTTAATAAACAAAGAGTAATGAGCTTAATGATTATAATGACCCGTTCATTTGCTAACAAGTCAGTATTGAGTACAAATACCTATTTGATACGAAGGGTTTCTATAGGAGATGGCATAAGATCGAGACACTATACCATCCCAAATATATATCAAGACATTTCTATCTCGTTCCGTTGTTTGTATGGTTCAAATTGTCGAGATATTAACATCCCAAATATAGTCAATGTTCATTCTTAACAATAAAAAGTGAAGAGATTAAGTCATTACCCTCAAATTACAATAATTATTGAATTACAAAACGTAAATGGCAAGAATCAAACTATATGGACTAAAATGAAAGTAAACTCTGAATTCTACACTCGATATCTTAAGTTTGATTCTCCCCATCTTTAATATTGCTTGTATAGAAAAAACAAATAAATTTATTTATATAATTTATCATGTAACAAAAGAGATGAAGTCGGAGAAAACAAAATCGAAAAAGTTCCAAGTCCCCCCCAATCTTTCTTCGAGTGTGTGATACTTTTCTATTTATTTATTGATGGAGTACCTGTTGAGTGTGTATTTGATTTGATGATTTGGTAGCTTGCGTCTCATGTTGCTTATATTACTGGAAATATAACAAGCTAAAAAAAAATGTTTAAAACGAGAAAGGTAAGTCCCATTGAGAAACAACAAAACCGGAAAAGAAAAAAAAGAAACTTAATTAAGCATGCATTATGTGCGGGGTAGGGCATGTTTGTCCCCGTATTTAGCCTACGTTATTGTTGAGAGTATTATCCCACATCACAAATAAAAGTACCGTCTTATAAAATGAATAAAAAAAACATGAGTGGTAAAAATGAAGAAGGCTACACATTTATCATTTATCTTCTCACTACTATCTTATTTTTCTTATGCACTTTTAATTATAAAAAAGAACATTAAAACATTTATAAATGACTTTGAATCATTACAAGGCTGATTGCAGCAACAATTGCTAAGAACAATCCATCACTCTCCAAACGAATAAAGATTATCAACTTGTACAAATAGCGCTCAATCGCTGAAAATTATCAAATTAACATTATTTAATTACTTTATTTAGTTAATTACACATTGTAATTCAATAAGCCGAATCGAGATTAGCCACTTAGTATTTACTTTTTAAATAGCCATGTAACATGTTTGGTTAAGAGGCGACAGAAGATAGCTACCACTTATCTCTCTCGTTGGTTTGCTTGGTTTTCATTTAGAATTTTGATATTTGTTGCTACTTCAAAATGATAATAAATAAAAAAATATTGTAACGGAAAAAAGAATAGTAATAAAATATTCATGGTAAGTCAAAACATAAAAACAATTCAAGTCCCGGCAATTGTAACATTTGATGGCCAACAAGCTCAGTTTCGCGAGTAGGGATTAATCGAGATGAGCGCAAGCTGTCCCAGAATCTCATGGTATTTACCCAAAAAATAAAAAACATAAAAACAATGTTAGAACAACAGCATGATGAAAAAGTTGTTACCCAGAATAACTCTATAATCATTTTGTTGGATTGAAATTCAGTTAAAATTTGGTGAGCCATTAATTTTCATTAATTTTTTATTATTATAATAAATCGAAGTGAAAATTGAAGTCCAAGTCCAACAACTATGGCGTCTTCCTATGAGAGCCTGAATTTTTAGACAGCGCCGAGGTGGGCCCCATCACGGGACGCCTTCAAAAATTTCAACTTTGAACAATAAATCCCACCATTTGGCGTCTTCCTCCACTCTCTCCACTATATAAAACTCCCAACACCAACTCTCATTTTGCTCTCACCCTCAGATTCATATTGTTCGTTAGATCTATCTCTCTTTTTTCCCGGAAAATTTTAGCGCTTTCCCGGAAAATCTTCGTTTTCCTGGCGGCTTTTTGAGAACTCAAGTGGGCGTCGTGGAAATGGCCGAAGAGTCGCAGAAATGGGTGCTGATGGTGACGGCGCAGACGCCCACCAACATCGCCGTGATCAAGTACTGGGGGAAGAGGGACGAGACGCTCATATTGCCGGTCAATGACAGCATCAGCGTGACGCTTGATCCGGAGCACCTCTGCACCACCACTACTGTCTCCGTCAGTCCCGCCTTTGACCAGGATCGGATGTGGCTCAATGGAAAGGTAAAAGCTTTTTGTTTGTTTTCGTCTTCTCAGTAGTCTCTTTGTGTTTGGTTCCCGGGAAAAATGCATGGGAAACAGAGGATTTGAAGGTCTTTATTTGCTGTTAGCTTTGACATAAACTTGGTGGGTCCCTGTTGGAAGGCAAAAAAACTTTTGGGTTCTAAGTTTTTGCCCCATTTGGTTGGCAAGAATAAGTAGAAATGGAAAGGAAATTGAAAATTTATAGTAGCTGTATCACTAGTATTGAGCTTTTGAAATTGGCACTGTTGCTTTTGCCACAGAATTGTCAGAGGTTTAATATTTGCTTCTCCAAACACCATGATCGTTTTGGGATTTCACTGATTCGTGTCTCTATTTTTTATTTTTCCGGTTAGTGTAGGAGATTTCTCTTTCTGGAGGCAGATTCCAGAGCTGTTTAAGAGAAATTCGTAGTCGAGCTACTGATGTTCATGATAAGGAAAAGGGAATCAAGATTACTAAGAAGGATTGGGAGAAATTGAATGTACATATTGCTTCATACAACAATTTTCCTACTGCTGCTGGATTGGCTTCCTCGGCAGCTGGTTTTGCTTGTCTTGGTAACGGATAATACCGATCATATTACTGTTAATTTGTTACATGATTAGTGCCTTAAGTTTGAGAACACATGACTGTTAATAATGTTACTTGGGTACTGGATTAATCATTCTTTGTCAATAAATAGTAATTAAGCAATGAGCATATCATAGCTAAGCCTCTGTTTCTACTTGCAGTTTTTGCCCTCGCAAAGTTAATGAATGCGAATGAAGATCACAGCCAGCTTTCTGCTATTGCAAGGTAGTTTAATAGTTCTTCAATTATCTCATTTTCAGGTTGCCTGTATCTTGGTTCAATTATAATGATTCCAATTGTGAATGCCTTGTGCTTCATTTTCATTGCTTGAATGTGGCTGCTGTTCATGGAATTTTTAAGTCATGATAAGTATCAGAGTTATTATGTTTGCTACTATATAGACCCCATGGTAATGGATTTTAAGTTCATCTTAGTAGTTGTGTTATAAATCCCTTTTCTTCTGTATTCACATTATAGAGATTCAAGTATTGTAGTTGTTGGTGATAATTCTCTACATTTGTTTGTTCATACAGGCGAGGTTCGGGCAGTGCTTGTCGCAGTTTGTATGGGGGATTTGTCAAGTGGATCATGGGAAAAGTAAGTTTAGTTCTTTTATGGTTATTGTTATGTCCTCTGTTAAAATCCAAGTTATTCTATTGAGTCTTTAGTGCTGATTCTTGGTATCATTATCTATTAAGGATGAGAAGGGAACCGACAGTCTTGCAGTTCAACTCGCAGACGAGAAGCACTGGGATGAGCTTGTCATTGTTATTGCTGTGGTATGTAATATATGTTCTATACATTCTGTCAAATGATTTTATTGTCAAATTTTGGCCTGTGGATGACGGTTCTTTCTTGTCATCTTGTGCTCAGTTGTTTTTGAAAGATTTTCCCTAGGGTCTTTTGAATTTTCGACTTTCCATCTCTGAGTTGGCCATGCATTTCATTCTCTTCTTTTTAAAATATAATTTTTTGGGTAGTTTGATGGTTTGACGTTATTTCTATTCATGTCGTGCATCTTTCTGGTTTTGTAGTATCAACCATATTATCTTAAATGTGTTTTCTGGTCAGCATCAATGGCACGATGATACTTTTCAGTTTTGCAAAATGCTACCTTTGAATATTATATTATATTTATTAAAAAAAAAATTATCCCCGTTCAGTTGCACAAAGAGTTAGGAAGATATTAAGTAGTCAAGATTAAAAAAAAAATAGTAAGAAAGAAAAGTTTGATTTAATGTATTTAATTTGAGAGTTGCTACTATTAAAAAGAACAATTTTTATAAAGTCGAGTTTATTTTTTGCAAGTCATGTTAGTGCATGTTTTGTTGTCATGAGGTGGATTTGGTGGAATGGAAACGTAATTTGGCAGTTGTACCCAGCCCAAAAATTTATATGATGGGTGTTTATAATGACTGCACATGCTTATTTTGGAACGTTGAGGTTTCGCAATTTGTATAGAATCCTTGCAGAAGCAAAAGATGTATTCTGAATGTCTGACTAGGTTTATCACCCTATACCCTAAGTTATTCAAATCTTGATTTTGTTTATTCCAGGTAAGTTCACAGCAGAAGGAAACGAGTAGCACTACAGGAATGCGTGATACTGTTGAAACAAGTTTGCTCTTACAACATAGAGCGAAGGTACATTCTCCATTGTCCTTTCACTGCCTATTTTAAATGATAGGAATTTTACGAACTGTAGAACTTTAATCCATAAATTCTATAATTTTGAATTTTTTGTACCTTCAAACTCCCTCATTTTAGTGCACCGTTAATATGAAAACACGGTGTCTTATTCTTTTAGGTCATCTGCTGTCGCTTATTTTGGTGGGGTCATTTAACCCTGATCTAACTTGTATATTTCTGTTTGTCTTTTTATACTGTTACAGGAAGTGGTACCCAAACGTATATTAAAAATGGAAGAAGCCATAAAAAATCGTGATTTTGCTTCTTTTGCACAACTGGCCTGTACTGACAGTAACCAGTTTCATGCTGTTTGCCTCGACACATGTCCGCCCATATTCTACATGAATGATACATCCCACAGGCAAGCCTCTTTTTTGAATTTGTGTTACTTGAAAAGCTCAGCGGTTACAGTAATTCATTTATGTTTTCATTGAGGTGCGGAACTAGAAACTTGGAATTCAATATTGACGAAGTAACTATGTTTCAGGATAATCAGCCTTGTTGAAAAGTGGAACTGTGCAGCAGGAACGCCTCAGGTTAGGAAACTAAATTATTTTTAACGATTATAAAATACTGACTGCTGCTCTTTGTAGCATGATAATGTTAAAAAACGGTGATCTTAAATTTCTAAGATTGCTAGTGCTCTGTGAGCAGTCATATCTTGAATTTGGTATGTCTGATTGTATTTTCAGTAGAAGTCCTTCAGCATAAAAAGGTTAACCTAGTTAAAGCTTCAATTTTGCATGTTTTCTTCATATAGTGTCTCAACTGAAGCAAATTGCACATCCTCAACAGAAGCAAGCTGTAAAGAATTTCCGAAGAAGTAACTAATAAATTTACAAATTATTAGTGGAAAAGAAAACTTTTGGCATTAGCTTTTCAAGTAATTTGGCTCAGACTTTGTTCTCATAATAAACGTTATTGCTCAAACCATGCTTGGAAGTTTCCCTGGGGATATACCTTTCCTGAATGGCAATATTATAACATGTTAGTAAAAGTACTAAATTTCGGTTGTGACTCTTAAAGGCTTCAGAAATACTAATCTGAACCTGCTTATCTCATGTGGCACTAATCTTACTTTATTTTAGCTTATGGCATCCGTCTGCTACTAAATATTATTTGGGAAAAGATTTTATACTCTATAAGCTTATTTTTTTTTTTTTGGTAAAACTCTATAAGCTTATTTGAGTTGCATACTGTTCATACTTTTTTTTTTTTAGTAGTTGAAAATATTTTAATGACTGACAGGTGGCGTATACATTTGATGCGGGGCCGAATGCGGTTCTAATCGCACGTAACCGAGAAACAGCTGCCCTTTTGGTTCAGAAGCTGCTATTCTGCTTTCCTCCAAAATCTGATGCAGATTTGAACAGGTAATATTTGTGGGCTTTCATATGACATTTCCTCAAGCTTAAGAGATTCTTATTTCTGTGTAGTTTCCGCATCAATGATTTTTCTGATGGCACCAACCTTGCTCCCCCTTGTGTGTGGCTTTCTCTTTTAAATTTTTTCTTAATTCTTTTCACAGTTTCGTTCTTGGTGATAAGTCCATTCTGAAAGATGCTGGGGTTGAGAGCCTGGAGGCTATCGAAAGTTTGCCTGCACCTCCAGAAATCAAGGATCCATCCCAGAGGCACAGAGGAGATGTTAGTTACTTTATTTGCACAAGACCTGGGAGAGGTCCAGTTGTGCTGTCAGATGAAAGTCAATTTCTTCTCAACCCTGAAACTGGGTTGCCGAAGTAAGTTGAGAAGATTTCTCTTTTCTTTCACGGTGTTCTGTTCTTTCTCAGGACGATTCAAATGGCTGTATGAGCCTGAAGTAGTTCGTTCAGATGATCCTTTTAGGCTGAACCCAAGAATTGCCTTAAAATGATTATCCGAGTTCATCTCAGTTAAGACAGTTTCTGTTGCTTGTTTCATGTATCTTTAATTTACTTTTTGCTCTTTTAATCCAGTTATGGTCTTTGTGCTCATTTTCTTTGACACATTAACGAATAAATTGTCTATTGTTCATCAGAAAGTGTGGCATTGTGATAACTATTAGCAATTCATTCCCGTTCTCTACATGCCCTTCCTCCTAATTGTCAATCTGAAATTTTGAACTCTTGAGTTAAAGTAGCTTGAATTCCATCAACATCATGGCATTGTATGACCTTTGTACTGATGCAGCCCAGAAGCAAATGATCGACAAACGTCTAGATCCAAGAACAAGCAAATGATCGACAAACATCTAGACTCATCAGCTTTATGAAATTCACCAAAGAAGAGAGAAAATCTCAATAATTTTAATAATCATATTAATAAGCCGTCAATTACAACGCTTAAAGTTGTTCAAATAGAAAACATAGAACTCCAAAATCGTAGGAAGCTTCTTCAAACTTAAATGACAAGAAAATAATTACATCCTAATCTTAATAAAAGTAAACAATTAATTATTCTAAAATTAATAAAAAAAACATTAAATAAAATATTTTCCTCGCCAGAACCCTATTCTTTCATGAATAAGCCAATTGATCAGCAGTACAAGAACACTTCCTCCTGGTGCTTTCTTTTCATCTCCTTTTTATTCTTTCCTACTTTTTCCTTACACATTTGCAAAAAAGTATCCTAGAATTTACCCATACGGCTACTGCCATGTTTTCACCTTCCATGTCTTTTTTTAAAGTACAAACGATAGTTTAAAATACACGGGATGAGAGATTCTCACACACACACACACACACTATCATGGTGTCATGGGGATTCGAACCTAGGACCACTAGTATGCAAGTCAAGGTTCTTTCGCACTTGGCTAAACCCCATTGGCACCTTCCATGTCTTATATTTGCACCAAGTGCATTGCATCTGTCATTTGTGCAGAATTATCTATCTTCACAAACTATTTTCAAAAAGTCTCATTCCTTTCCAATATTTAATCTATATGAAAATTTTAAGCCAGTTTCGCCCAATACCTTACAAAATCTATCTTGCTGAAACAAAATGTTAAACAATGACAGAAATCTGAGTCTGATACAAAGGACCAAAAAAGGGAAAAGAGCAGCCCTGTATCAACAATGGGCTACTTCTCTTCAATCAGAAGTGCCTTTAAGATAGCTTCACTGATACCATCTGCAGCTGGAAACAAGTGTCCAGCACCTGGTAACTCATGGTAGTGAATCCATGGAAGCTTTTCTGCAATATAGCGTTGCAGTTCGACTGGGACAAGCCGATCTTCATCACCCTGCCATAGATGGACGGAGCCTTCCTTACTGGCAAAAGGGTTCTTCAGATCTAGAGGATCAAATTCCCAGGTCCCAAATCCAACCATCATGTCACGAAGGACTGACTCATATTCTCCTTGCTGCTTGGCCTGTACCTGCAAAAAAATAAAAATAATTAATAGATAAATGAATCATCAAAGCTGGTAGCAAGGACGAATGCCACATAAAATGAGTCAAGTACAGTTGGATGAGAGTATTTTCAACAAGATTACAGCACAAACAAAACTCCCGACTGCCCTGTAAACCAGGAGGCTCCTGAAAACCTCAACTAGCACTATAGCTCTCCTCGTGTGAATTAGTCTTGCAAATGATATTAACTCTTGCTCAAGGGTTTCAAATTGTTGTACAACGGTTTGAGAAGTTAATTTTTCACATCATATGAAGCTTTATATTGAATCTTCTACGGTACGTGGAAATGGACCGAGCTGAAGTAATGCCTCATGTTGTGTCCCTCTTATTGAGTTCAATAAAAAAGTCCTAAACATTTACCGAATATGAAAAGTACCTTGTTGTCTCTTTCAGAAACGTTCGCATTCCGTATGATTTCCAAATCTTGGCGAGAAAAAATGTTCATATTTGGGTTACTACTGGATACAACACTGGATGTAGGAAATAGTTTCTGAGTGTTCCACCAGTGGATTAGCCATGGTATGTGGTGAGCAACTCGAAGTGCCCATTGATCCCGCGGAGGTTGTTTATAATAGGCACCGGACAAGTTGGCAGGCAAGCCTGGCCACCAGTAGTTGACAACAGGAGCAATCAGTGTTGCTCCTGCTAGCCTGTCAGCATCCCAAACATCAAACTTGAGAAAAACTTCAATACTGATTAACATATCAGATAATGTAGAATTTGGTCCTCATTGAAATAAAACCTTGTATCCAGACTTTGATACAAGCATCATCACCAGATAAAATCTACTTTAATGAAGTTCCAATGCTGGTGTAAAGTAATTAATGTATTATGCAGCCTTTACAAATCTTTACTTCAACATTTAGAAGGTTTCCATATTGTATCCAGCCAAAATTTTAGTTGTTCTTAAAATTTAAAGTTAAATACATATGCAGCATGATATTTGAAATTAATGCATCCCTCTCTCTCTCTCTCTCAATTGGTATTCTAACATTTACAAAGGACATGTAGAGCATTTACAACTGCCTATACTATCCATGAGGCTTGTAGGAAAGTCTTACCTGTGAGGGATGTACTGAAGACACTTCCAGATGACCTGTCCACCCATAGAATATCCAATTACATAAAATTTGGATCCCAGTCCCAGCTGGTCACCAAGCTCTTCTATATCTAAAGCCAAACTCTTCCGCGTTCGCTTAGGATCCGGATCACTTTCACCATATCCCGGTCTGTCAAAAGAAACAATGTGCAACCCTAAATCTTCAAGCACTTCCTGAAAAAGAATCCATCAAGAAGTTAACCAATCTAATTTTTGGACACAAACTTCAAAAACCAATGAAGACTATAAAATCAATTTGAAATTGAGAAACAAATTGCGAACCTGAGGGACGGTTGTTGCAATCAGTGCATCATGTCTGGTAGAACCAAAGGCATGAACATAAATAATCTTATATCTGGCCACTTCTTTTGGAACACCATATTCCTTGTAGGCCAAATATCTTCCATCCCTCAGCTTTATTCTAGATGCCGTGACGAGTGGGCCGCCGGGGGAGCCACAAAGTTTTGGAGGGGGTGGTTGGATGGCCTGATATGCCCATGCCAGCAACCCAACTAACAAGAGAAATGTGAGTCTCTTAAACATCTCTGATGCCTGACCCCCTGAGAATGAAAAATGAAACTTTGCTGAAAAACCAGTACAAGAAGTGAGGAGCAAAATAGCACTGACCTTGAGGACACTATAATAAGGCTTAATTTGGGCATTTCCCCTTAATTTGGATGATTAAAGTTTTGATGAGATCACATATTGATTACCTCTACAAGTTCACCAATGAAGAGGTTATCTGAATGAAACAACAACCAGAAGAACAGGAGAGCCAAGTTTAAAAAGCAGGGTAAACGGAACAAAAATACAGAAAGGGTCAATAAACAAATGAATCAGTTGTACATTAGAAACTCCCATCATTTAGTTAATTTTAAAAGAAATTACATGAACTTCAATAATCTATCTGCAGTATTCTTTGCTCTGTTCTTCATAAAAAAAAACATATATATATATATATATATATGGCAATAAATCTGTCCATTGGGTTTCCATTGTGTCCAAGAAAGCAGTCAATATGCAGAAACAAGCATCAACCAAATCAACCAATCATTTTTAAGACAGAAAAACTTGAATATATGGACTGCATCATATAAACTAGACTCAGAGAGAGAGAGAGAGAGAGAGAGAGAGAGAGAGAGAACGTACGTTAATTAGAGTTGAGTGCAGGAGGAACAGCTGTTGTGCTGAAGCAAACCATTATATATCTTTAACTTAACATTTGGTTTTAATTAATTAATTAATTGTATTACAAGTAAGTAAACAAGACCGCCACCTAACTACCAAACCCAACCTAAAGTCGATGGCATATTTTTCGCTCCATTCATTTTGACCTACATTTTTCTGGTCAGCAGCAAAGCAGAGAGGAGGTTGGTTAATCCAAAAGTTGCAGGCAAACCTTACAAGACGACAAAAATGGATTATTTTCTGCTACGCTGTCGTAAGATTGACCTAAATTCTTTTGTTGTCGTCTGTTATAAATTATTTTCTTTTTACGACAAAATGGATAATTTTGTGTTGTCGTAAGATTACCCTAAATTTCAAGAGTTTTGAAAAATATGATAATTTAAAATGTTGACAATCTCTAAGAAAAATTTATCTGATACCCCACATAGCATGATGAAGTGATGCAGTGGATTTACCCCAAATTATGACACTTTAACTCCTTCACTTTTCGACCAGAAGACAAAGAAAACTCCTTCACTTCAAGTTACAAGCTTCCTTGTCTCCCCTTTGCCGGATCGGAGTTGGATTAAACTTATTTAGTGCTTAACTAAAGAAAATTTAAAGCTAAAGAAGTTGTGGAATTATGGGAGCAACGGTCCTACGTTTTGGAGGCCTAGAGTTTAGGGTTTAGGGCTTTATATTTTTTGGTAACTATTTAGGGCTTTTATTGAGTTTCCTCTTTTTAATTTAGAATTGAGTAATTGGGCAAGTTTATTATTATTATTTTTTTACAATTAGTGAGACTTTATTGAGTTTCTACTTTTTAATTTTGAAATGAATGATTAGGTAAGTTTTTTAATATTTACAATAATTGGTTTGGGCCTAACAAAATATTTATATAATTGTTGGGGTCTTTTTATGTCAAAAGGCTTGTTCAGGCTTGTTGATTCTTGGATCACCATAAAGTGGTGGACCAATCCTTTGTTGCTCTTTATTTTTTTTGAGATAGCGAGAACTAGGCCCAAAGCATCCTGAAGGAGAAGTAAGTCTCAGGGGAGTACTCTGTTCTTCTTCCAACGGCTACATGTTTTGTGTTAACATTTCCGGCGACTCTGGAAGGAGTTGAAGATGGTGCATTGATGTTGTATAGGCTTGGCATGAGAGTTTGCTTTGGTGAATCAAGATATTACTAGGATTGGCATGAGAAGCTTGTTGTGTGAGAGCTAAGAACCCATGAGTTTAGCAAGAGTGAGAGAGTTGGAAAGGGAAAAACTTGGAATTGTAAATGGACTATATCTTCCGGTAGCTCTGGAATTGCTCCCACCAGCTTGAATAGGTTTCTTGAAACAAAGAAAGTTAATTCTGATGCTTGACTCTTAGGATGGTTTTTTACAGAAATGCTTGGGTGATGTGCATGGTATTCTAAAAGAAAATAAGCATAAAGAAAGGATTAAGGCTTGAGATTTGGTGTCACATCCCTGGATCGGCTCCATTCTAGCACGATATTGTCCTCTTTGGGCCCCCCTCTTTGCCCTCACGGTTTTGTTTCTGGGAATTTATGAGCATCTTTCCAGTGGGTCACCCATTCTGGGATTGCTCTAGCCCAAACTTACTTAACTTTAGAATTCCCATGACTTCGAAGCCAGTGAGCTCCCAAAAGGCCTCGTGCTAGATGGCGATGGGCATATATATATATAAGGCACATCACCCCTTCTCCATTGGTCGATGTGGGATGTGTTTGGGCCAAAAATTGACACATCCAGCCCAGCGAAAAGATGGAAGCCCAAAAAACCAGAAGAGTCCAGCCCAAGGCTCATCAGAGCAAACAAGGCTGATTTGGGGGAGTCTAGAAGAAGGAACAATCCCACGTGGCAACTTCTGGGACAAAAAAGTCAGCAATGGCGGAAGTCAGCAATGGCGGAAGTCAGCAATGGCGGAAGTCAGCAATGGCGGAAGTCAGCAATGGCGGAAGTCAGCAATGGCGGAAGTCAGCAATGGCGGAAGTCAGCAATGGCAACTGCCATAGAAGAAGTGATTGAAGGGTTCATGACATCAAGTTGATTCTGAAGAACTGAAGATCAAATCCCTCTTATATATGTATATTCAGAGATTTTTCTTCTGTCTTCTCAGAGAAGGTAATTCTCCCAAGAAGATAAGCAAGTTACAATCTCAGAGAGGGATAAGCAGGAAAGCAGGGAGCTGTCCAGAAAAGGAATCAAACTAACCATCACGGGTAAAATATCACAAGGGGCAGTAGAAATTGGGAAAGAGATTAGGTTCCTTTTCAAGAAAATCAGGGAAGTGATTGCCTAT